TTGCCCCTTTCGGCCCCTCCTTCCCCAGCCCCCCTCCCCGTGGCCCGAAGCACACACAGCTCAGCAGGAGCTCTGTTACTCTTCAAAGGACCCGTTACTCTGAAGGCTAAAATTCAGAACAGAGCTGCCTGGCCCTCCCTGGTGTGCCTCCTTCCCTGTTGGACCACACTCCCTCCCTTGCCTCAGGCTATACTTCTCCCTCTTTCACCGGTTAACTCCTCTTCCTTCTAGAATTATAACCTTTCTCAATTTGGCTACATCCCCTATTAATTACTCTCACAGATCCTGAACTTCTGCTTGGTATATAGTTTGTGTTTGTGTGCTTGCCTTTCGCACCCAGCTATAAACTCTGGAGACCAGGAAGCAGGTATTTCTAGCCCCACCATGCACCGGGGCACAGAGTTGGTCCTATGTGTCGGAGGAATAAATGAGTAATAGGCCTTGCCTATTACGCAGGTAAGAATTAGCAGCCTTTCTGAGCTACTTTCTTTTCAACCCTATGATCCTTTGAGATCAGACTTCATTCCCTGAGGGATGAATATACTTAAAAGGACAGTGCTTATTGGTGGGTAGTGTTCCAGACTGTGCAGATCAAGTTGTTATTTCTTCAAGGGATGTGACAATGAAGACTTTCCAGTTGGAAAGAACAGCGATATATTAGAGGGTGACAGTCACTTGTGGCACCTGAGTATTTACTGTTGATGCCATCTTGCTTCAAGGCATGTGCTTCCAAGAAGATCTTGTATTTTGGATCCAGCGTTCCTCTAATACTTGCAGTAGAGAAGAAAAAACATACAACCAGCTCCTGATGAAGAGCACAATGCATAAACACATCGATGGGTGGAACCAGTCAAAAATTTCTCACAGAAGGCACGCTCCTGCAAAAAAAAAAAAAAAAAACCCAACCAAAAACCAAAAAAAACCCAACCCAAATAATTGTGTTGGGAAGGGTCCAGTTTTGTCATTTCCTCTCTTAGAAGCGTGTAATGATGCATATTCCAAAAACACTAGAATCTTATTGTGCTGAATACCCACAATGCTGATGCTGTTGCTTGATTATAAGAAAAATCCCGTTGGGGAACTTGAAAGGGCTCTTCCTTTCAAGATGCATGCAGACCATCAAAGGTGCTCTTGGGTTGCCCATCAGCAGGAAGAGTCCAGCTATAACTGAGTCACCGCACATTCTTTTTCATGTGACTATTTATGGCAGGCAAAGAACTTGTGGGACATATGGGCTTTACAAATAGCTTCAATTATCAGGTAAGCCAGGGACCATTTTTAGGTGCCATCTGGGGAAGTGAACAGTGTCTCTCTAATTACCATGCTGGTGACAAAATAAAGCAAAATACAGCAAAAGGGATGGACTGCAGAAGGCTATTGTTAAACACAATGCCTTTTTGAATGACCAGGAACTCAGGTTGTATAGGAAAACCGTAACTACCAAGTCATACTACAGGAACAATCCAAAAACTGTGCGAAGGAAATTGGAAAGTCATTAGAAATGACATGATGGACCAGGACATGTGTTAAGCTGCTCACTAATTGGTTAACCTTTTCATCTAATAGGACTAGTTAGGTGCACATCTAACTCCACACACATCTCTAAAGGTTCTGCTTTGAGACCATTTCCATCTTAACTTTCACGGCACAGCAGCTCAGTTTTATATTTCAAATCACCGTGTAAGTGTAATTAGACTCATGAAGGAAGTAGCATGAGCCACATCGTTCATTAACTTTATAATTAAAACAGGAGGCCTTCTTCCCCATTTTAATAAGAGTGAGAATCTGTTTCTTCATTTTCATTGGAAAATAAACTGGGACAATGAGAAGAGAACATCCATTGCCAGGCAGAACATCTTCCTCCTCCTCCTCAAAAAAAAATTGGTGGCATCTACTGAGGATTGTTCTGATGCCACAGCTGTGCTCAGCACTTTGCACCTGATTCTTACCAACTCTGAGATATGCCTGTTTAAAGACGAGGAAAGTGAGGCCTATAGAGAGGTTAAGGAACTTGCTCAAGATCACACAGGAAGTGATGAAGCACTTGGCTTAGCAGGTCTTGCTTTTTACCAGGGTTCCTTGCTATACTGTGCTGTGCAAACTTCAGGTGCATTTGAATTAGCCGGGGAGCTTGTTAAAGGCACATTCTGACGCAGTAGGTCTAGGGTGGGCCTGAGATTCTACATTTCTAATACCCTCTCCGGTAATGCGGAGGCAGGCGGTCTGCGGACCACACTTTGAGTAGCAAGGCAGTGTACCATCGATGCAAAGGCATAATTCCTTCTCTTTCAACAGAATGCCCTGCTGTTGCACTGAGCTGGAGCCAGGCACCCTCACCTGATTACTTGACCCTGATACATTTGAGACAACGCAGAGACAAGAAAGATATCAATCCAGAAGCAATAGTGGTTATGGAATGCATACATTTCCATGTATTTTTACAGTAAAAATGCATTAAAAAATCTTTCACAAAAGAAACTTAAAAAATACAAGTAGGGTGTCGAGTTCTCCCCCCAACATTCTTTCAGGCATCAACTGTGTAATGGGTGGGAGGGGGATTCTTCAATGGTTTGATTTAATCATACAAAATACTCATCCATCATCTCCCATCAAGACATTTACATGACGTGGGGGATTAGGGAAAGTAGGCTCACAAGAATCAGTCTCCAATTTAAGGTTACAGTAGTTCAGAGAAAACTAGATCTTTCTGCTTAATGCATAGTCCCTGTACAGTACAATATTTCCAAAGCAAATCTGATGTGTGGAACTCAGAGGAAATTGCCACACCAAGTCTTCGCAGACTGAGCCAAGCCCAAGTGGGTAGCACACAGATTTTAAAATGTCAAATATCACCTCTGACAACAAGAAAGACATTAAGATGTTACCTTCACGATGTACTCCAAAAATCCACCTTGATTTCATTTATTTAAAACTCTGGACCACAAGTGAGAGCAGAGCATCGATCATTTAACATCACCGATTTTGCTAGAAATAGCAAAACATTCCTAGCAGCGGAGCCTGGGGAATAAAATCCCCAAGTGGGCTCCTAAGGAAACTGATGAAAACAAATGTCATTATTCCGTTGTGTTTTCCCTCAGCCTTACTACCACAGCTCAATGTATGCTTTGTGTGGAAAACTCTGATGATAAAAGTAGCAGTCACAGACCCTCTTCCTCCTTTTCAGCTACAGCAAGTACATTGTCTCTGTTCCAGGAAAGGAACGTGTTTTGTGCATGTCCACACAACTACAGGAACTCAGTCTATGTTATGTATCAACCCAGAAGTCAAATAAAGCTATGAACAATGTAATATTTATATATGCATAGTGTTTTATAAAAAGATTGGCCCACATACTGCTTTTCATCAATACAGAAAGAGCATTAAGTCCATAGCACACTGCAAGAAATGAGTGAAGAACAGAGAATGCGAACAAGTGCTTAATAATTCACAAGCAGGCTCACCATGGAGGAAATGATGATATTCAAACCAACTAAAGCTTTAGAGAATTACTTACATAGTCTCCCATTTTAAAACAGCTTTACATACCTGATTTAGTTTACATTAAAATATATCCCAATGAATCCATTTGTTCCATAGTCAGAAATATAAACACATATCACATTCCTCACAGCTAAATTTTTTTGTCATAAATTCTCTTTTATACAAGAAAAAAAGGCAACAGTTGTTTTTTTTTTTTAAATTTCTTAAACAGGCTCTATTAATTACAATTTTTAACTCTGTACACACAATGATTGGCTGGTTTTCTCCATTTTTTTTCCTTTTTTTCTAAACAGTACCATGAGAATAACAGTGATTGACTTGCAAAGTTTTGTGTCTGTATGGAAAATGCAGAACAGTACTACAGAAATACACAATGCATTGTAAGCAGCGGTTTGCTATAGTGATCCAACAGGTACAAGCAAACATTTGGCTCAGCTAGGCAGTAATCCATTTCAACCACATCCTGGGGCTACAAGCCGACCCAACCACACCTCCTGCGGGACTGCAAAAGAATGGGTCGTTTTTAAAAAGAAAAATGGTTATGCTTTGTTCTGCTGTCCAAGGACTCAAGGGACACTTTCATGAGGGCAGAGGTTTGCCAACTCCATCTACCACCACTGGGACTGTGTCTTTTTCCCTTTCAACCATCCTGGAGACTTTTATTATGGTTGCAAAGGGAAATCGGCATCTCTAAGAATAAAGCACCCCCAGCCCTCATTTCTTTAAATATCAACAGAGAGGTAACTTCTACCAACACTCACTCCCTGGTCCCCAGTTCGGCAAAGGGCAATCTTGGGCTTATGCTACAAAGGGGGAACACGCTTTCTGTATGGAGGATTCTCACGGCTCCCTTGCACTGGGCACATTGTTCCCCATTCCATCCACTACTCAGCCTCAAGTCAGACAAGACAACACAGAAGGTGTTCAGTGTCCGTCTGTTCCTTCTAGTAGTTGAGCAAAGCTGTGATGGCACTGCCTTAATGAGATCTTATTAGATGTTGGTGATGCTAATGAACCTGACCGCCTGTGCTTGGGCTACATTTGGGTAATGGCGGCCAACCTTCTCCTCTCTGTGCCTTTCTACGGCCAGGGAGAGTACGAACTGTTTTCTGAACCAACTATGACTCGAGAAGGGAACATTTCTTTGTGCTGTGTAGTTTAGCTATAAATATCCTTCATTTGCAATAGTAGTCTCTTCATACAGTTTAATTTTAGGATCATCGGCAATCCTAATCCATCTCAAAGAGTCCTCAGCTTTTACAAATATAACTTCTGCCTTTTTGCTCTTTTTTTTAAAGAAAAACTCCTAACTACAGTATAGCACTACATCACTACATAACAATCTACATCAAATTAATTAAACTTAATCAATAATTTCCCTTAGAGAAAATTCTGATCAACAGCCCTATTTAACCAGGAGAGAAAAAGATTGCCCCCCCAAAAGGGAACAATTCTTGACAATTCTACAGTTTATGTAGAAACAAAATGTATATCTCTTCGGGGCAGCATTTGGCAAATAATTTCCAAAAAAGTACGCATTTAAAAATACTTTCTTTAATATTATACATCAGGCACAACACTTTTCATATATATATTTTTTTCTTTTAAGATTTCAAACGCATAAAATGTTTGTTGCTCTTCATAGGATCATCGGGTGTCAGACGCTTCACCAGGTAAGAAACTAAATTATTTCAGGTTTGTGACCTTCCTCTTAGAACCTTTGACACGGTAAAGGTTGGACTGTGCCTCAGCGTCTCAGATACTGAGGTCGGTGCTACATTCTTTGTAAGGTCGCCTTCTCTGCTCGGGGGCGTGTCTGGAGCTTCGGCCGGCATCCGGTTTCGCACTGGGCTCCTCCCTTCCTCGGTGGCTCACTCGGTCCTCCTTGTTCCTCTTCTCCAGGGACGGCTCGCGCCTGCGCTCGGGGGACCGCGCCCGCCGGCGGTCGGTGGACTTGGCCCTCCGCTCTGGCGAGCTCCCCCTCCTGCGCTCTGGGGACCGTTTCTGCTCCAAGAGTCTCTCGAGGGACCTCCTGCGATGGCTGGGCGAGCTGTCCCTTCGGCGGGTGGGCGAGCGCTCGCGTCTCCGCTCCGGAGAAAGCTCCCGCCTCTTCTCGTGCTTCTCCCTCCTCTCCAAAGTGGTGTCCGCGCTGCGGGTGCCTTCTCTGCGCTTCTCCGGGGACCTCCTCTTGGGGCCGTTGGTCACCATCCGCTCCGGGGGCGCCTCTCTCCGTCCCTCCGGTGCCCGGTCCTTGGGTCGGCAAGCCCCACTGTCGGGTTTTCTAGAAGTTCCGTTCCATGTGTGATGCTCATTGGGTTGTCTGCTATACTCTCTGCTGCCTTTTGGGTCTTTCCCGTGTGCCCGCTTTTCCCCATGCTGTGATGATTTGTGAAGATCGGGTGGGTAACTGGACTCCAATGATGGATGCTGTCGGCGGTCGGGGGGCGCGGCCCTCACTTCCGGAACCCCTTGTGCACCGCCGGCGGCGGCGGGGCCGTGCCGGTCGCTGCTGGGGTCTGCCAGGAAAAGAAAGGAGAGCCACAGGTTGGTATCGAGGGCCTTCGGCTCCTGTCCCCACTCCCACGCCTGAGATCTCATTAGTCACAACAAGCAAACAACTGTTAAAGCAGTCAGAATCAAAGCCGACTGGATCCTGGTTAAGTCTAACTGCAACTAGGGAAGGTTAAAAACTCAGCACTTGTGGCTTTCTGCATCTAGCTGCTGATGTGATGGCTACACCCCAGACACAGATCATTAAGGAACTTACAGCATCTGTCACGATTTTAGTCTTTAAAGGCACAACCCAAACAATGTATCTAGCAGAATCGAAAAGTCCCCACCTTAACTGCCTCTTGCTCTTCTTTCCCCACCCATCAAGCCTTCTCCCCGGCCCACCCTTCTTCCCGCCCAGGCCCCCACAAGAGAAAACATTCTTTTCTTTAAAGAATACTTAATTTGCTTAAAAGTAATCTAGGTTATTGACCTGGAGGGGGATGAGGGAAACTTTCTGGGGGTCTGGGGGATGTAAAGAGTCTATATTTTGATCTGGGTGATTAAAATGGGTGTTTATAGAGGTTAAAAAAAAAAAAAAAAAGCCTGAGCTGTACACTCAGGCTTTAAGCATTTTATGCAAAGTACATTTCTATTTTAAAATGCTTTTCTTAAAAAAAAAAAAAAATACTCCAGGGTGGTGGGCAAAGGGGATTATAGAGGCAACATGGCCAGATGTGGATAACTGCCAAATGTGACATGTATGTGAGGGTCCATTAAACATCCTCTCTACCTTTGTGAATTTTATTCAACACTTTTCTCTAATTCTGGGTAAGTTTAAGAAACTATTTTCAAAATGTGGCGTTTCCTGACAAAAGGGAGTGGGACAGAGGTTGTCAGGGGCATGTCTGACATCACGTGGGGCTCAGATACAGCCTTTCAGAGACAATTTTCCTTATGCTACACAAGGTCGCCCTAACTGCATCCAGGAGGTGAGGACTCACTGCACTGCTTCTTACAACATCAAGATATCTATAGATTTAAAAGCAGAGCAGCCCATGGGGGGGGTCCTATTTATTATTAAACTATTTGAAATGACATGGCCAATGTTTTAGGTAGCACTCTGACATTATGAGAGCGCTTTTCAAAGCAGGGATGCTCTTGTTGCAGCTAAGCCCAGTCAGTCAGACACGTTACACGATTCCCGGCAAGACACTTGACATGAGGTGCTGCCGAGTGAACCAGGGTGACAGTCACAGAGATGAAGGAATCACAGGAACTCTTTAAGGATCTTTCATGAGGCAACAAGGTCAACATTAAACAGTCTGTTTCATGAATGATCTCCCAAAACCCAGGGTGGGGTTTTAATAAAAACAGGAAGATAGCCTAGAGCAGGGTTTGTAAACTTTCTGTAAAGGGCCAAAGAGTAAATATTTCTGGCTTTGCCAGCTGTGTAGTTTGTGAGAAGTACTTAACTGGACAAGAGTGTAAAAGCAGCTGAAGACAATTCATAAAAGAAATGGGCATGGCCATGTGCCAATAAAACTTTACTAAGAAAAAGGACAGGCTGCGGACAGGATTTGGCCCATGGGCTGTAGTTTCCCAAAGGATAGCTGAGTAGGACATGTCACCTTTCTGTCTATCAAAGCCTTACCGACCTAGGGGAGGGCTCTGTGATAGGAGGTTTGCTCTTTCTGAATGCTGGGTCCTAGAATTAACACAAACAGGGGCTTACAAAGTCATTTTAAGCTTTGGGTAAGGACAGGTGCTTAGATCACTCTCACAAACCTAACCTCGGGGTTTCTTACACCTACTTTTAAGATAAGGGACAGGAAGACTTCAGTAGGGTCGGTGGTGTACTTACAATTCAAAGAACGCAGGGTGTTCAGAATGAATTGCCAAACATATCAAAATAGAACTAAGCAGAAGCAATGAGGAAATTAGGCCACAGCACAGAAACACCTAGTATTGATTGAGCTACAAACCGTAGTTTGATTATGGCCCATAAGGTAGAAGCAAGCTTCCCCGAGCTTTTCATTTCTCATACATGCAGCGAGATTAGGAGGTATCATCGCTGTAGAAGGGAAGGGCCCAGCACCAAGAACAGTCAGAGAGAAAGAGAAAGAGAGAAAGAGAAAAAGTTGAACATTTAGATTCCCTATAACAAAGAGGAAAGAAAAAAAAAATCTGCATTTGTTAACATAGGGCAAAGAGAGTTTATTTGTCCAGTTAGACAATCTAAGGCAAAACTCAAATAAGGCTGCAGAGACCGCAATCAGAACAGTGACATTTTTTAGACATCCATATAAGGTGACTCAAGAACCCAGACAATGGATGCACCCTTTTTTCTTTCTTTTTCTTTTTCTTTTTTTTTTTTTTCGAACAACTGGAACAATGACAAGCTGGCCTAGGAGAGCATTAACAATAAACAAACAAAGGACCGAAGTTCCCGCCCTCCCCCACCCCTGAAGACCGCGGCAGTTAAATTAAGTACAAAAAACTCATTACAAAAATAGCCTCACGGAGAAGCAGGTTCCAATCAAGTCAGAAAAATATTGGAACTTAACATATTATAACCCATTTGTGACTCTAATCGGTAGAATTAGAGAGATTCAGTCCAAGGGACACATGGAGACATTACAGCAGCACAACTCTGGCATGTTCAAGCCTTCTTGGAAAAAAACGAGTATTTTTAAAGGATCTTTATTTTTAGCCCAAAGAACATTTGTTAGTGCTGGATTTTCATCCTCAGTGCAACAGACATAGGTTTTGAGAAGGTACACAGGTTACTGACGATGATTCTCAAATGAAATATCACATCCAACAGAAGCATAGGGGAGACAGAAAAGGGAGACAATGTTACAGTTTCAGTAGCATTGATACACCTATGGTCAGGGATTCAGTACAGTGCACAGCTGTGGCGTCTCAACGTCAAAATTCCTCCCCTGTGGTTGGCCGTGTCTAAAGGGGCCTCATCTGACAGCCCCCCTCCCCCCACCTCAGGCCCCTTGTATTTTACACCTGTATATGAGTGTCCAACACCTGGGAAGGCTGTCCTTTAAAGGGGTTATCCTTCTCTTCGAGCTGCATCTGAATTAAGGATCTCATCAAGTCCAAAATGCAACTGGGAATTGTGCAGAATGACTTTCAGAAAAGAGGGTGAAAACAGATCAATCCCTAATAAAGGGGACCAACGTATATGGGGACCATTCAATCACAGTTTCTATAGAAACTTCTGTAGACCTTTGGTTGGGAAGAAAAGCCCTACATCTAGGGCATAGCTTTTTTTTTTTTTTTTTTCTTTTTTAATTTTAAACAAGACTCTCAAATAAATAGGACATAATCATTTAATATACAATATTTTGCCATCAGAAGACTACGCTAGGTAAAGATCATTGCTGTTTATTCAAATCATGTCTACACGTATGACAAAGGAACTCTTATGTATAACGTGGCTTTCCCCATAGGAAAGGTATAGTAACATGTTTCCCTCATGATGAGCACTGGGAATCTATTTCATCCTTTTTCATCTAAAAACATATGGCTAATATATCAACAGTTTTGTTTGTCTTATAGTAGTGGGCTCAGGTGGTCTGACTGGGGATAGGGACCAGCAAGGGGGATATGCAGAAGTGTCGTATACAGCGCATAAAGGAGGTGAGCAAGGCCCCCAAATCATCTCAAAAATTTCACACCTCTTAAGTAAAAACATCAAGTAATCAAAAAAAGAAAATAATAAAGGAGAATTATGCCTCAACATATCATTCAGGAAACCTGCTTTCCTGCTTCTGAAAAGGAGTATAGTCAGTTTGTGCTAACAATTGGATCTGAGAAACAGTTTGGCACAGTTCCAACAAATATTCCTTCACTCTTGGTTGGACTAGACAAAACGTTCTCTCTGCTTATCAGAAAGGGGGCTATCGAGATCTTGTCTTAGGCCACGCCCCGGTCCACATAAGCAAGCAAAAGGATGAAATGTGTAGAGATTTCAGAACAAGCGAGGCAAATAATCACATGGTGCGAAAGGCTGGGGAGACACTGGTGAATAGGGGGAAAACAAAAAGACTTTCCTGCTGCAGTTCTGGAGACAAATTCATGGAGTCATGCCAGGGAAGGAAGGAAGGTTTTCATAGTTTGACCCACCATATTCTGGTACCGAGCCGTCTCCCCGCTTCAGAAACAGACGCACCCTGCGGCCGCCATTCTTAATCAGTTCTATAGCCCGAGAATGCTTCATGTTTTTGGTGGTCTCGCCATTGATCTCTAAAATTTCATCACCAATCTGCCAAAGCAAGAGACGAGAGTGAGAATGTAACAAAGGGTCTGACCAGCTATCAAGGTGCTTTATGCTTTAAAGTTCTTTCATTGAGTGATTTACTAAATATTTATTGAGTATATTCCAGAAAAATCTCTTGTTGCTTAGGATTCAGCAGGTAAGGAAACAAAAAAAATTCTTGCCCTCATGGAGATGACATGCTAATGGAAGACAATTAACAAGAAAATTAGAGACATACGTGTATGTTGGAAAGTGTAAGTGCTAAGGGAAAAAAAATGAAGCAGTAAAGGGAATATTAATTGTTCAGGAAAAGAAGATGTGGTAGGCAGTTTCTAGGATGCCTCCCCCACCCCATCAATCCTCTCCTCCCTATATTCATATCCTGTGTAATCTCCTTCCCTTCAAATGTGGGCTGGAATTAGTGACCTGCTTCTGGCAAATGGGAAGGGATGTCAGCTCAAAGATAAGGTTACAAAATAATTCTGGCTTCTGTCTTATGTGCCCCTCTTTTATTGTCTCATTTGTTCACTCTGATGCATGTGGTGAGCTGCCCCACAGAGTTCACAATAAGGAAATGAGGGAGAGCTAGGGCCAACAGCCCAAGAGGCAATGAATCCTGCCAACGACCCTGTGCGTGAGCTTAGAAGCAAACGCTTCCCTGGGTGAGCTTTCCTTTTTTTTTTTTTTTAAGATTTTATTTATTTGTCAGAGAGAGAATGAGCAGGGGGAAGAGCAGGCAGAGGGAGAACAGGCTCCCCGCCGAGCAAGGAGCCCGACGCGGGACTCGATCCCAGAATCCCGGGATCACGACCCGAGCCGAAGGCAGACGTCCAACTGACTGAGCCACCCAGGTGTCCCTCCCCGGGTGAGCTTTCTGATGAGACCACAACCCCGACTGATACACAGATGTGGCATTTACTATGTGTCAGCTACTATTATAGGCACTGGAGATAAAATACTCTCATGGAGTTTATTTTCTAGAAGGCAGAAGAGGAAAAGCACTGGCTTTGGAGATTAAAGCCTTAAATTTGAGTCCTGTCACTTATTAGCTAACTGATCTTGCTCAAATCCTTTAACTTCCTGGAACTCACTTTCTCATCCATAAAAGGGGATGTTAACAACCCATTCCTACCAAGGTGTGAGGACCAAATTGGATAATACACGTAAATGTGTCTTGTGAACTATACAGAATACAAAATAGCATGATAACGATAGTTCATTCAATCAGAAACTTTTTTCAGTAAGCAAGGACATGGAAAAGCGTACCTCATGTATTTAAAATTTGAACAAAAGCCATATACAGTGTCTCTATTCCTATGTGCACAAACTGTACATATATATGCATAAAAGAATATACAAGAAATTGGTAATACGGTTTGACTTTGGAAACTATATTTTAAAATATGTACCATTTTTCACTAATTTTCTATAGCCATTTTCATGGTCTACTTTCTCAGTTAAAAAAACCCCACTCATTAAAAATTCAATCTGGGGGGGGCCTGGGTGGCTCAGTTGATTAAGTGTCTGACTCTCGATTTCAGCTCAGGTCATGATCTCAGGGTCACGGGAATCAAGCCCTGTGTCGGGCTCTGTGCTCAGCAGAGAGTCTGCTTGAGATTCTCTCCCTCTGCCTCTCCCCAGCTCTTTCTCTCTCAATAAATAGATAGATAGATAAATCTTTTTAAAAAAATTCAATCTGAAAAAACTTAAAAAGCAATATTATGCCTTATGTACAAATATTAAGTTCCCTACCCTTGGTCACTTTTTTCCCCTCTTTGCTCTGGACCAATTCCATGTGTTTTCCTTTCTTGATCTGGCTGTCTTGATTTTTTTTCATTTGTAGCAAATTGCTCCCTGTGCATATGCCTCAATCTAAGTGACCTCTCTGTAATGACATGATTTTTTTTTTTAAACCACCTGATCCCACCCCAGGAAAGTGACATAATGCACAGTAACAGATATTAGATATCTAAACAGAACAAAGTGATCTTTTTGGCACTTGTATATTTGAAATTTGCAACTTCAACTACTACAGAGCAACTGGGAATATTCATGCCATGGAGCTGCTGGTCCTTTGCTGAGGCAGAGCTGACCTGCTCCTGAGGCTCGGGTAACACAGCTGGTGACTAGCTGGAGACTGAATGGAGCTCACCACCCAGAACCTACAGGACTACACACCTTCCCTGCTCTGTAAGCATCCTGGTATACCTAGGATTTCCTGTGAAGTGATGTGCCTGCCTTATGAGATTAAGTATAAGAACTATGGGACTGGGATTGAGAAAGTATTTATTTCAATAAATTTATAAGTCATTTCAATCCTTCATTCCACCCTGAAGAGTTAAAAGGGCTCACCTAACTTGAGCAGCTACCACCAACTATGCTTTAGGGAGAGATTTACGCTAGGGTGGGAGTCATGCATTTAGAGTGTCCTGAAAACAGTAGAAAACGCAGTTCTCAGGAACAAGAAGGTTCTAGCTGCGTAATGTCAAAAAGTCGCTGCAGATGACTTATTTGTCCAGACCCCTCTTCCTACTTACCCTCATCTTTCCACACCTTTCTGCTGGACCATCCTCTGCTAAGCGCAAAACATAGAGGTCCATGTTATATTCTCGGCCCCCTCGAAGACTAAAGCCAAATCCCTTGGCTCCTCTTTCCAGTTCCACAGTGTAAAAATCTTGCTCCTATTTAAAAAAAACGAAATGTAATCATTTGGGGGTGAGTGTGTATCTGCCCATATTTCTTCCCACCTCTTCCCAAATATTCTCTGTCATGGTGATTTGACAAAAAGGCATGGTCTCTATCCTTCTCCTGGTGATTCTCAATTGTTTATTAATATTCATTCATCTTAGAAGTTTGCAGATGCAGAATTTGAAAACATTCATGAGAGTGCCTATAGCCTGCACCCCAACATGCATATATTAAAATTTAATCAGGGAGGCCACAAATCATATTCGTGGCAGGGAAAGTCATTACACGATACCATCCTGCACAGTGCTGGATGTTCAGCCTCCGTGCCCCACGCCTGGAAAACGGCAGCAGTGTCTATCACTAGGACACCAACAATGACCTCCTCACATCTGGGGAGTGGCTGCTACCCTGGCTGAGAAGCATGAATGGATTGCTGAAGGCTCTAAGAAGGCCAGTCAAAATGAACCTGCTCAACCATATTTGCTTTTCCCATATTTGCTTCACGTGCATGTTTGTGCATCCCCTATTACTACCCTGTGGGACGGGCAGTTAGCTCTATGGGTCTCACCTGAAATTCACAAGGCTGAGAAACACCTAACAAAAAAAGACATTTTCTTGGCATAAACATAGTTATGAATAGTGTGAATAGGTATTAGCGATTTTGCTCTTTCTCTGATGGCCAGTCCCTGAGACAATTATGGTTTTTTAAATTTTGTTTGTTTTTTCCCACCTAAAAAGGATATCTAGGAATATTTTTCCAAGGTAGTAAAAGAAAATGTCATTTCCTAGACAACTAAATGTGAGTACATATTTAGTACATCCTCTCACAAAAGGTTATTTTAATTGAGGGTATCTTATAAAAGATATCTCATAAAAACAGCTTCAGAAAGTTGGAAGGAAATGTACAAAGCAAACAGAGAAACAAGAAGAATGGCCCTCACCTGTATTGCCTGGGGTGCTTTGAACTCAAACTGAGATTCTGGCTTTGGTTTGGTGGTATTCCTGCCAAAGTGAGAGAAATAAATGTAAAAGCAAACCATGGGGATATAGAAAAAAAAAAAATCAAGGACGATGATCATCAGGCCAGGAGTCAATTTCTTCCCTTAAACCTTCAAGGACGA